ACCAAAACAAAAAAAACAAAACAACCCACCCCCCAAACTGTGTGGAAAATGAAGGAGCAGGGAAGGAGAGATTTCTGAGAACCCTCTGTGCAATGCATTTGCAGTTGTGCTAATCTTCAATCATCAAAGGAGTTTGGGATCGGTTACGTAAAGACGAGAATGAATTCAATAGTGAGTGAGGAAAAGCAGATGAACATAAGATGCCTATCCCCTAGTGTTTGGAGAACTGTGCTTTGTGATGCACTTTGCTTTTCTGTTGCTAGGAGAGAGATAAGTGAGCCCCTGTGGCCGTGTGTGCATCACCAATCACATCCATAAGCAGTGACGCACCTGGTAGCTTCAGCCCTGGAGAACCCCGGACTTGTCTTTCCTTGTACACTCTGTAAACAGGAAGACAAATGCCACCACCTGTCCTCAATGCAGAAAAAAAAAAAAAAAAAAAAAAAGCACTGGTAAAAGCCGTACTTTCCTCACCCCCAGATATACTAAAGACACATTGGCACCGAGATAACTATTCATCTCCACTCCAAAACTGTCACCTGAATCTCTATTTTAGGATTAAGGGTTCTGAGGGAAGTTTCTTCAGAATCCATTGCTTAGCCTCCACAACAAAAATAAGGATTAGGGAGCTCCTGCCTGGCAAGGTTTTGTGGTGACCATGGAGATTAATCTCTTTCTTGGGAAATCAGCTCTTAGCAACCCTGCTGCCTCCACTCCCACTAAGAACAATTTCCATTCCAGTTTGGGGATGTTGGATAGGACAGCAGCCATGGAGGCTTCTAGGTATTCAGCATGGGGTATTCTAGATATTCAGTCTTCCTTGATGATGTTCAAGTTCCCTTCAGTTTTTCTTTTTTCCTTTCAATGTGTGGGAAGATGGGGCCTTAAAGCAAGGTGCTTAACTTACACTTACTCAAGATTTCCCTAGATTACCATTCATCATGCTGGGCTCAATATGGCTGACAGGCTAATGAGCCAAAGTAGATATACCATTTCACCTCTAATAGAACTCTCAGACTTAGTGTGGGAGGGGAGGGAATCAAATCCCAGTGATTTATGTATCATTTTAAACTGAGATATGAACAATGCCAGAGCATTGCTATTTGTATCAGTTGATTAGAAGGCTGTGAAGACAAAACAGTATACTCGTGTGTTAAACTGAACATTCCAGGCAACAGCACTTTGGCTATAGAAGAATGGCTGAAAGAGAAATGGTAATTGCCTCAGGGACTATGGTCAAAGCTAGGCCATATAGAGAATTTTTGTATGTACACTGGAAAAACAAGGGTAGTTATTGATGGGTTTTTAAGAGAGCTGTAATTTTAAAAGATAACTCTGGTCCAGCAAGATGACCCACTTGTTTCACAAACTTGATGACCTGAGTTCAGTCCCTGGACCCAAGAAAAGGAGAGAACTGATTTCATATAGTTGTCCTTTGACCACCACACATTTGTTGTGGTCCCCAAACATCACACGCACACACACACACACACACACACACACACACACACACACACACACACACACACACACACGTGCAGCAATAGTAATGACAAGTTATTTCTTAACAAAAAGGTTCTCTCTGGATTTAGGTGGGAGAAAGAGTGTGGTGATTTAGAATCTTGAAGCAGGGTCATGGTGTATTCAACATTCCTTTGTCATTGCTTCACTTCCCACATAGTTAAAAAATACGGCTGTGTCCTTAAATCCCACATTCCTTGCATTTGGGAATTTTTAATTTGCTGTTTTATTTGCTTCTGGGTCCCCTGTAGTCTCTTCTATGAGGGAATTTACATACTATCTGATGAATGTTATATTTAAGCATTGTGGCTCATCTCCATCTCATAAGCTGTGTCAGCATGCTGGAAAGAATTCCGTTTTTCATATTCTGGTGCTAGCATTGTGTAGGGGACCATTTTGTCTCTGGGTCAGGGGTAACTTTCCTTGTCTTGTGCTCTGTCTTCATCCCCATGACACACATTGTCTTATGCTCACCCCAAGCTTGATTTTTATCTACTTACAAGTATAACAGACATTGAGGGGAAGCATGGCTGTGAGAGGAATGTCCTGCAGAGGTGAAAACAAGAAACCATAGTGAAATTCTTTTTGACCAAGAAATCAGGAGTTGCTAGCACGTGTGGATAGGAATGGTGACACCCATGGCAGAACTGAAGAGAATGTGCTCTATACCAAAACATTTGTGTTCGAATGCAAATAAACTGCCCAGCTGAAGCAGATGGGGCCAATTTGGCTAAGTGATGTGAATCTAATATTTCCTCCTTTAAAAAAAAATAGTGTAGCCATCTTCTCTTTGAGATGTGTGTGGCGCAAGCTCACACTTGCCAGTGAAGTGAAGCTTCAGACTGTTCTAGAGTCGGGACTGGGGTTCCTCCCACAGTCTTTTCACACAGCTGTGTGAAATGGCTTCTCTTCCTTTCCTCTTTCTCCATCCTCTCCCTACCCTCTCATCTTTCCCCATTTTTACATCTCTGTCAGTCCCGTTTCTCCTCTCATCTCTCTTCACTCTCTATTATCTCATCTCTCCCTCTAATCTCTTCTTTCTCCCTCTCTTCCTACCTTCGGATCTCCATTCTTTCGCCTGTCCTTTCATCTTGCCCTCTCCTCCCCTCTCTCCTCTCTCCATTCTCTTATCTCTAATCTGTTTTTGTTTTCCCTTCTCCCTTCAGTAGTTTCTTCTGCACCCCAACCAGATGTTGCACACAATAAGGGAAAGTGTCAACTGCAGATGTTTCACACAGTAAGGTAGCAAGTGTATACTTTTCACAGAAAGGAAAACAGTTGTGATTTAAGGACAGAAGCAAAGGGAACATATCTCATCCTTCTTATCTCCCCATGACCCTGGGCTAGTCCCTAGCAGGTAGTTTAGTTATGGACTCTTCCACAAAAGAAAACAATATGAATTGGATATAAATAGCACTGACCCATTTCCTACCCAATCCTTAGATTAAGATTAGCATAAACCCAGGAGGAGGATACACAGGAGCAGCTTGCATGATAAGGAGTCACTGCCATGAGATGGCCTGAAATCTTAGTCAAAGAATATTTGGGTAATACATATCAGAGAGAGAGAGAGAGAGAGAGAGAGAGAGAGAGAGAGAGAGAGAGAGAGAGAGAGAGAGAGAGAGAGAGAAAGAATGTATATTATGTAAATGTTAGCTAGGGCCTACATATGTGAGAATGTACACATAGGTGGAAGTCAGAAGGTGATACCAGGTATCTTCCAAAATCACTTCCCATGTTATTTTTCCAGATGGGGGTCTCAGTCAACCTGGATCTCACCAGTTCAGCAATACTCAGAGCCAGAGCCACAGAACTCCTTTCTCTACCTCCCAGTGCTGGAAGCACAGACACATGCTGTTACATTTGCCTTATTTACTTTGTTTCTGAGGTTAGAACTCATATCTTGTACTTGTTCACCAGCCTCTTTAATAACTGAGCCATCTCCATGGCCTAGATGGTCATCTTTTTCTAGAAAGGGCTTTAAAATAACAAGTGAAATGTGTAAAAACTACTCAAAATATCAAATGATGATGGAATAATACAAATATAAGATGGGACAGAATCGCTCCTCTTTTTTTCTCTCTGAGGTACAACCCTTTGTTTTCTCTATTTTTAAGATGGGAAACAGAGAAAAGGAGAGCTGAAATGACTTAAAGAAGATCAGCCAGTACAAACTGGTACCTGGGTTTGATCCCACATAGTTTGTCTCCTTTTAATCTTTATGATTCGGGAAAGAGACAATATAGACTTTTAGCTAGTGCAGAAGGTCAGGATTTGAATTCTGGCCTCACGGTTTCTGCGGTCATGGTCATATTTCTTTAGCAGTGTGGATTTCAGTTCATCCACCTGTATATAGGAGATGGGTAACATTATTTATCTTTAAGATGTTTTGTGAGGATTACATAAGAAAACAAAGCGTGGTGCATAGCCTACCATGGCACAGAATATCTTATCAGCATTTGTACTTGGGCCTGGTTGATCTGTCATCACAGGCCTGTGACTTAAGCAACAGAGGTCACTCCCTACCCAGGTTTTGGATGCTAGAAACTTAATATAAAGGGGTGGCAGAATTGGTTTGTGGTTGGGACTCTATTCCTGGCATATAGGCAGATACCTCCTTATTGTGTCCTCACAGGGTCTCTTCTCACCAAGGAGAGTCCTGGAATCTTATGTTCTGTAAGCACAGCAGGTCTAATTCAGCAAGACTCTTGGGACTCCAGTGAACCTTAATTACATCCTTGATGACCATGTTTCCTAATGCAGTCACACTGGGTGTCAGTGCTTCATATCGGAACTGTGTGTGGACACAATTTTTTAGGAGGTAGTCATCAGGGAGAGGTGACTGGAAGGATGGAGCCATAAGGTGTTTGGCTAGCTCTAACACTCCAGGTGGATTCCATAGATGTCCTCTCTAGAGTATTATTCATGACAAAGTAATAGATACATTATATATATTTTGGGTGGTCATCTTAGTTTCTTTTCTATTGGTGTGATGAAGATCGTGGCCAAAAGCAAAGTGCACACGTGTGTGTGTGTGTGTGTGTGTGTGTGTGTGTGTGTGTGTGTGTGTTTGCGTGCTGACACTTTATCATTACAGTCCATGATCAAAGGAAGTCAGGGCAAGAACTCAAGGCAGGACTATGGAGGCAGAAACTAAAGCAGAAGCCCTGGAGATGTGCTGCTTACTGGCTTGGGCTCCATGGCTTGCTCAGCCTGTTTTCTTGTACTATTGAGTACCAAGTTCTCCGGGTGGCACATCAGCGAGCTGGGCTCTCCTACATTCATCTTTAATCAAGAAAATATCCTACAGATTTGCCTATTGGCCAGTGTTATGGAAACAGTTTCTCCACTGAGATTCCCTCCTCCCAGATATGGCTAGGTTTGTGTCAAGTTGATAAAAGTCAACCAGCACAGCATGTGTGTTGTCTGTCTTCTCTTTGTTGACATTGGAAATATCTCTTACCATCTGTCTTTTTTAGGTGAACCTGAATTTAAATACATTGGGAACATGCATGGCAATGAGGCTGTTGGACGAGAACTGCTCATTTTCTTGGCCCAGTACCTGTGTAATGAGTACCAGAAAGGGAATGAAACCATTGTCAACCTGATCCACAGTACCAGAATTCATATCATGCCCTCCTTGAACCCTGATGGCTTTGAGAAGGCGGCGTCTCAGGTGAGTGCCGGGCAGGGTGGATGTGACCTGCCTTCTTCATCGTTCTGAGGTATTAGAACACGTGTACTTGTCTATCCACAATTCCATCATAAAGCATAGAGATCACACAGAGTAGAGAGAGACTTGTTGCTAAGAAAAAAGTCAACACTGTAAAGGATGAGTTTCTTCAGTAGAAACTTTGCTGATGAATTTTGCAAATATGTTAATACTTTCATAATAATGTTTTGATGGACTGTTAAATAAATGACATTGATTCATCCATAGTTGTGACTAGGCAAATTTGCTTCTAAAACAGTTGTTCTCAACCTCTGGATCGAAACCCCTTTGAAGTTGACTGACTTTCACAGGGTTGCCTAAGACCATTGGAAAACACAGATATTTACATTATGATTCGTGACAGTAGCAAAATTATAGTTATGAAGTAGTATCGAATATGATTTTATGGTTAGGGCTCACCACAGCATGAGGAACTGTACTAAAGGGTCAAAGCATTAGGAAGGCTGAGAAACACAGTAAGCAATGCCTACTACCATGCCTGTAGCTGGGTGAATTGGTGTCATAGCGCTCTCTGCTGGAAAGAAGGAAGAATGACTTGAGATTAGATTGGCATTTTCAGAGATTTAATTAATTGCTGGTTTTATGAAAGATCAGTAAATAAAACCAAACAAAACAAGTTCTCCATGCTTACAATAAAAATAATTTTATAAATTTTAATTGTTAGGATTAAAAATAATGGCTCTCTTTTTGAGATAGGCTCTCACTATGTAGCCCAGGTAGCCTGGAACTTGCTGTGTAGATCAGGCCGTCCTTGAACTCACAGATATCCTCCTGTGCCAGCCTCCTGAGTGCTGGGATTAAAGGCACTATATAGGGCACTAGAGGCTTTGTAAGAGTATATGTGTGCTTCCATTTTGATTGGACAAGTTTGGGGATATTATAGTTGTATATTCTGTTTATGGTGTAAAATGTAAAATTTTGATACAGGTTGTATAACAATTAATCTATCTCCTCTCACACTGATCATTTATTTTATGGTAAAGACATTTAGAATATTTAAAAGTATATTTAAAAACCAGCCTACTGTGACTTCAGAGAAATTTTTACTTAATTCCAATTGTTTGTGGTGTGATTTTAAAGAGGTCACCTATGATTAGTGAATTTGTACTAACTGTTAGTATTCAGACATCTGCACTGGCCTGCCCTTGAGGTTCTGACAGGATATGTCCTCAGCTGCAGCCACTAAGAGCACCACCTGTGCAATTCACTACTTTCTCTTTTAAAGGGGGCTTGCCCACCTCCCATCTCCCTTCTCCCCTCTCTCCCCTCTGTCTCTCCCCCTTCTCTCTGTCTCTCTTTTCTCTTCTGCTGCTCCTGTTCCCAGAGGCCTCTCCCCCCCCCCCTTTCCTTTTACCCCCCTCCCCGGTCCGTGAAAAAGCCCTTCACCCAAGCTCTGTCATATGGCATCTTTCTCTGGCACAGCGCTTTTTAAAATTACAACACCAGCATTTATTGAAATTTGGTAAACATCTCTTTGCATAATTATTATTATTAATTTAAAAAATCATTCATTGAAATACTCCTTTTCACAATGCTTCTAACAAATATTTTAAGCCGGGTACCTTTAAGAGTACAGTGTGCGAGATACTGTAACAGATGATCCCAGTGAATTGTTTTTGAGAGCAGTGATGGGGACCATAAGTAGGTATTGACAGCAGTAATAAGTAATGATGGCTTTTCTGTTGTCTTTCTTAGCCAGGTGAGCTGAAGGATTGGTTTGTAGGCCGCAGCAATGCCCAGGGAATAGATCTGAACCGGAACTTTCCAGACCTTGATAGGATCGTGTATGTTAACGAGAAAGAAGGTGGCCCCAATAACCATCTGCTGAAGAATCTGAAGAAAATTGTGGATCAGAACGCAAAGGTAGCACGAGCATGGCTTTCTCGTGTCTCTTGTGCTTGGCTTCCTTGGGGTTTCACATGTAGGACTTTTCCAGGGTCGCACATGCTCAGCTTTCCCAGAGTCTGCCGCATAGCCTGGGGAAGTATGTTCCAGTATCTTCATTACAGTGAATAACATAGGAGGGGCATGCATCTTGAGTGGAACAGTTACGCATGACTCGCAAGGCCAAGGCTGGAGGGGCTGGATGCTGGGGGTTAGCTTGCTCCTGAGGACTGAGGATGACTTGTGGAAAGGGAAAGGGATGAGGGAGCAGTGGAGAAGAGCCCACTGGGAATCTTGTGTCTAACGAAGTTTGCAACACTTCACACTGTTGATCGTTGTCCTTTCTCCTAAACCTTCCATAAAATCCCACGTCACCTACCCGTTCTATTACTCCTCAAGTCTGCTGAGTTTCTTTCGCTACTATGTCTTGGATGAGACATTTCCCCTGAGTTCCAAATTATATTTACCTACGTCCCAGCATGAATATCGCTCACCAGCAATTAGCTCTAATATCTCAGTGATTTGACCTCCGGAACCCATCCATTCCCATATCCTTCTCTGGCTAATGGTCTACTAGCCTCATGGTCTACTGTTCTTTCTTTTCATTTTTATTTATTTTGGTTTTGGGATATAGGGTCTCGAAATGTAGCCCAGGCTGGTCTTGCCTTTACAATCCTCCTACTTCTATCTCCAAGTGCTGCTGTCTGTTACTTCTAGGACTTTCTTTGAGATTTTGGAAAGTGGGATCTCAGTCTCATTATAGCTCCAGGACCCTTCAGATGCCCTGTGAACCCAGAGGCTTCTGGATGACTTATTCCTTAATCTGGCTCTCTGGAAAGTGGGATCTCAGTCTCATTATAGCTCCAGGACCCTTCAGATGCCCTGTGAACCCAGAGGCTTCTGGATGACTTATTCCTTAATCTGGCTCTCGCGGTCATCTACTCCAGTATACCCCCCAAATGTTCTATTTGCTAATAATACAGTCTTCATATCAGCTGTTGTTCCAACTGTCCCTTTTACTTCAAGTGATTTCTGCTCCCTGAGACAGCTCTTGTTAGACTTTCCTTGTGTTCTGTGACTACAGTGCAGTGGGACACTGTTCTTACATTGAGACCTGTATGGATGACATCACAGTTGTTTATTCCTGGAGTTGTTTGCCTTTGACTTCAGACTGCAGTCCATTCCCTGCAATGATTCATATCTGACCCTGACATGAAGCAGGCTAATGTAAGTAAGGGCAAACCAGGCTAACGAGTGAATTGCCATATCTGAAAAAATTTAGCTAATGGAAATCAACACTTGGAGTTCAGACAGGCATTCATTGTGTGTAGAGACACTGGAGGAGGCCCCAGGAGGTGGTGAGTTCCAGGTTTTTGGCCCAAAGTTCTATACTAGGCCTGGAGGTGGTGAGTTCCAGGTTTTTGGCTCAAAGTTCTATACTAGGGTTCTGTATTTAGGATACCAGCTGAGCTCGCCAGGGGGAGCCAGTCTGAGACAAGGGCTATGCAAGGAGGAGGATGCTGGTAGCATCTGGTGTTAAGAGACAAGCTTCCCTCCTTCTGAATCACAGATGTCTCTGTGATTTCTCCTCCTGAAAAACTGCTTTCAGGAGAAGGAAGAGCTGGGAGGTGGTGAGGCTGGGTGGAAAGAGAAAAGCCCAGTGTACAGCTGTAAGGAATAAGACCAAAAGGAAACTGGAGGCTGGGCATTGATATTGCCCACACACTTTCTCTGCTACGTTCTTGAAGGTGTCTCTGTTAACTCTGAGAAAGGAAGAAAATACCTATAGTTACCAATCAAGGAGAACTGTGAGACTCTCTTGTTCATAGGGGGTCTGACTGGCAGCTTGGTGCAGGTGAGATGGTTTCCAGCCAGGATGGCTGTCTCTTTCTCTAGTTAACTCTGTGTCGTGCTTGCATGGTTGCCATGATGTTTGTGTACTCTTGCTTTGGGCATTGTTATGAAGAAACGCCAGTGGGGCCTGGAGAGATGGCTCAGTGGTCAAGAACACTTGTTGCTCTTACAGAAGACCTGAGTTTGGTACCCAGTACCCATGTTGGGCAGCTCACAACCACTTGTAACAACAGCTTGATGGGATCTGATGCCCTCTTCTGGCCTCTGCAGGAACCTGTACTCACGTGCACACACTTCACAGGCACAAATAATTACAAATAAAAATCAGTCTTAAAAAAGACATGCGTATGTATTTTTAAAATGAGAGCCTGCACTTAAAAAAAAAAAAAAAAAACAATACCGCTTCTACATTAAAGAGAACGATGCAAAAATTCAACTTGAATTTATTTCCCTGAGATATAATCAAGATTGATTTGTAATGGCAAATCTTTAGGGATTTGAATGAGAATGGGCCTCATGGGCTCATATATTTGAATACTTGGTTCTCAGTTGGTGGAACTATTTGGAGATTAAGAGGCATAGCCTGAGGAGAGTGTCACTGGGGCCCATGACTGCCTGCTCCATTTTCCCTACCATGTTGATCATGGATTCTAACCCTCTAATTATAAGACCTAAATAAACTCGTTCTTCTGTTGGTTGCCTTGGTCATGGTGTCTCATCACAGCTTAGAAAAGTAACGAACACACACACTGGCCATGTCTGGTTCTTCTTCCTCTTCACTTTTGACATTAAGAATGATGCAGAATTTAGACTCAGAACAAGTATTTGATTAACGGTCTTATTCAGTCCTCCTTTCCAAGTTCCCATTTTTCAACATAGTATCTTGTTTTTACCCCTTAAAAAAGACTTTACTTTTCAAGATTTATTTTGTTTGGTGTGTCCAGAAATCATAGCTTAAGGATGCAGAGTTTTCTGGCTACAGATTTAGGGTCTTTGGGGTATATGCATGGCAGTTAGCTGGCAGGAAGAAAAAAACCTTCCTATTCCCTTAGGAGGCCCTACAGATGCTGCCATGATCCTGTGATACACACCACTAGAGATGGATACTCATTCTTCTGAGACTCTGGGAATAAAAGTCTCCACCTGCTCCCCAGAGATCTTCTTCTAAGTCATTTCTCAGTCAGTCAGGCCTGAGGCTCACCACCTGGCTGCCTTGGTGGTTACTTGAGTTCAGCATGTGAGCCTTGGCCTGAATTGCTTGAAAACAGCAGGGCTTAAAAATACATCTGATAATTTATTACTGTTATGCTTTTCTTTAATGGCTGGAGGTGTGAAGGAATCTGGACAAATACAGCTTTAACATATTTTCAATGCCAAAGCCATCTAATTATAGAACTTGTCTTTGAGCTCTACTTAAAGTCTTTTAAATTGAAATTCAGAAGTTTTAAAGTGTGTGTGTGTGTGTGTGTGTGTGTGTGTGTGTGTGTGTGTGTGCCTGTGCATGTGTGTGATTGTGTGGGCTTGTGCCTGAGGGCTTACATGTGTGCCTGGAGGCTAGAGGATACCTTTGGGAGTGAGTTTTCTCCTTCTGCTTTGTGTGTCCTTTGGATACACAGAGATTATCATACTTAGCAGCAAGCCCCCACCACCTTGCCCTCTGAGCCATCTTGCTAGCACATTTACAGGAGTTTTGAAGATAAATCACAAACAGTTCTGTAATTTTCTAGCTCTTGCTTTTGGGGTGCTCCACAAAGGGGATCAGTTAGACAGATAGCTACAGTACCCAGGGGCTCTGAGCATTTAGTCAGGCTGAAAGACCCTGTTAAAGTCAAAGAGAACAACTCTTCAACTTGACCAGTCATGAGATTGACTTGATTGCCATTGAAAACAGTAACATGCAGATTAGCCATTCCATATTTACAATATGAGAGCTAATGGAAAAATCTAACAGCTGCACGAAACTGTTTGTCTAGGACTATATTTGAGCTTGGTACAAAATTGATTCTTTGAAGTTTTAAATTGATAAAATTGCATAAAAATTCAACTGTTGTAAAATAAATGTCCCAAAAAACAAGGGCTGAAGAGATGGCTCAGTGGGTTAATAAAGTGGAACACAATTAATGAGGATCGCAATGGAGTCAGAACTAGTATGAAAAACAGATGGTTTATTAGGAAGTACTCACACGACGGAGCCAGCGGGAGAGGGAAAAGAGCACCGAATGTGTGGGTCTCTGATATTTAAAGTGTTGCTACCTCACTCTGACCATGCCCAAGTGTGTGTGGTCAGCGTCACCTGTGCCAGTCTCCAGGAGGGTGTTGTCAGCATTTCCCCCTACAGGTTAATTTAAGTACTTTCTGCCAAACATGTGGACCTGAATTTAGATCCCCAAGACCTATGTGAAAGCCAAATATTACAAAGAATAAAGCAGATTGAAATAACAAGAAAAATGACCCAAGAACTGTGGTCTTTAATGACCCCCATTCACGTGTTGGTATGTGTTCTTTATTTGTATGTCTATACACAATGCTCTAAAAGTTCATGTTGGATCCATGTGTGAGGGAGAATGTGATTCCCCTGTTTTGCTCATGCTCCAGTACCCACACTCATCCACTAAGTCTACTGTTTAAGAAAGCTATTCATTGACAAAACATTGTTATCTGTATGCAAGCAAGGAAAACCCACACATAAAAGTGATCACATTTAAAATATTACTTAGTTGTAGATATTATATCAGACCTAGTACAGTTGATAGACTACTTGGCAAGTATGTGCAAGCCTTGGGTTTGATCCCCAGCACAAACCTGGCATACATGCAATCCCAGCACTTGGGAAGTAGAGGAAGGAGGAGCAGATGTTCAAAGAACATCAGAAACGAAGTGAGTTCCTGGCCTGAGTGAAACCCTGAATCAAAAATAAAATAATAAATGAATTGTCAAAAAACCTCAAAGGAGATATATGAAATGTGGCCTAGTTAGGGTGACTATTGCTGTGATGAAACATCATGACCAAAGCAACTTGGGGAGGAAAGGGTTTATTTGGCTTACACTTCCTTATCATCAAAGGAAGTCAGGGTAGGGCAGGAACCTGAAGGCAGGAGCCAATACAGAGGCTAGGGAGGAGTGCTGCTTACTGGCTTGCTCCTTATGGCTTTCTCAGCCTGCTTTCTTATAGAACCCAGGACCATCAGCCCAGGGTTGGCACCACCTACAGTGGATTGGACCCCCATCCATCATTAATTAAGAAAACACTCTACAGGCTTGACTACAATTGGGTCTTATGGAGGCATTGTCTTAATTGGGGTTCCTCCCTCTCAAATGACTTCAGCTTGTGTCAAGTTGACATCTGGAGCACATAATGTTAGTAGTGGGTGTTTTTAGGTGGCAAAATTATGAAGTCACTTAAATATTCTTCTTTGAGTTTGTATGTCTTTACTATACTTTCTACACAACACATTTATTAGTACAGAAAATAAGATCAACCAGCCAAATAATAGAAATAGTCCACAATTCTTTTTGGTTTTTATGGACACATAATTTTGCATTTGTTGGTTTAAGATGATCCATCCATACACAGGCAAAGGTATAATCATCAATGAGGGTGATCAGCATTTCTACCTCCTTAGATCTTTGTTATTTCTTTGTTATTTCTTTGAGAATCCTTAAACATCATTTTTCTAATTCTCTTATTGTTTAATATTTTATTTATTATTAATATTATTATTAATATTTTGTGTATGTGTGTGTGACACGCATGTAGTGTCTTCAGAAGCCAGAAAAGAGTTTTAGATTCCCTGAAGCTAGAGTTACAGGAGGTGTGAGCTGCCCAAGATGGCTGCTGGGCACCAAATCCAGTTTCTCTAGAAGAGCAGAAGTGCTCCTGACCTCTGAGCCATCTCTCTATCCCTATTCTAAGTCTTTATAAACAGAATAAGTTGTAGGATAGAATTATCCCAGTGTGTTGTCGAGTACCAGAACTTATTAGTCCTATATAAATGTCTTTTGGCACCAGCTAACTGCATTTTCTCACAAGTATGAACAGCCTATGTGGAAATCAGAATATGTTTAATACTGAAAAACTTGATAGTCTAAAGTGAGTGTGTCCCTAAACTTTGTAGCCTGGGTTTGAGTCCTTGGCTATATGAACTTAGATGTACTTGTTACTTAACTGCACTTGGCCTTTGCACTTTGCAAAGGAATGAGTTTCTACATATCCAATAAGGATGCTGCAGTGCTCAATAAAAATGCTGTGTGCAAGACTTGGTCATAAACAGCACAGAAATACAAAAGATATAACGCAGGGTGCAGTTGGAGGTTCTGTCCCAAAAAAGCAGAACCAAGTGCATCTTCAAGTAAAACCCTTCCTTCTCATCAGAATGCTCAGAGGTCGGAAGTCTGTCTACTTAAGGGCTCAGCACACAAGTTGTTTTCCTCCAGATTCTTTTGTTATGAATTTCTTTTTATTTATGTCCAAGAAAGACCATGAATCATTGAAAAGACAGCATGAATTCCTGAAACTTGCTTCTGTTTAAAGTTTAAGGTTCCCGTTCCAAAGTAAACTGTTGTTTTGTGGTCAGCTTTCAATGAGATTTGATCTATTTTCTTTCTTAAGGACAAGGTCTGCATGCAATGGTTGAAGGCAGTTGGAAAAATAGTAAGAAATAAGGGGAAATAACATTTGCCATGTGTTAGAGCTGCCGAGTAGGGGAGGCATCGTTTTGTGGTTCAGCAGGCTTTTCTTGATTTGCTAAGGGTTATTATAAGGCTGTGTGGGCCATGGCAGACAGAGGAAGGGGTCCCAATGTGATTTGTATGGAGAGAGAGAGAGAGAGAGAGAGAGAGAGAGAGAGAGAGAGAGAGA